AAATTAATCACTGGGTACCGTACTTTTCGTGGTCCTTTTCTAAACCCTGTAAACAAAACTAGGCCTATTAGAAAAACTCCCGAGATTGGTATATAATTTTAGCTGTTCTAAATTTAATATAGCAGCCCAGTAGAAGTATAAAAAGTTACCATAGACATGTTAACATTTTAAGGTCCTCGTGCATGATCTGAGACTCGTGGTAGAAAAAGCCATTGTTAACATAGAGGTAAACACAACTAAATTTAGGTTATTGCAATACGTCTACAGTATTATAATAATAATCGATATCTAAAGAAGCCTAATGTTAATAAGATCTAGGCGCTATGGCGTATTATGTTTTATCGTCCATTGGTAAGCCTACTTATTACTTGATAATAAACAGATAGTGAACCAAAGTATAGAAATAAATGTCGATTGTCCTGCAAATAATTCAAGTCATGACTCATGACGCCAAGTTCTGTCTCTGTCTTGTTCTTAGCATTGTGTTTCGTCAATAGCTTTTTTTCAAGTTATACATTAGCATCACCCCGACATTTGTGCCGCCAAGTTCCGTCTCTGTAAATTGTTTTGTTCATAGAGATTCGTTAATAGCATTTTTACTTTACAGGGAATAAAAAGTTGGTGTATCAATAGACAGTGCTCATAAAATTACATTTCGCTAGTCCTACATGCGTACTGTGAACTTGCGGAAAACTGCTTGTATTTTGACTGACGACTGTTAAACTGATGACAGGCCCACACAGAAATTTTCCGCTACTCAATTGGGTCATGACCACTTATGTAGGCCTAGTACAATTTAAAAGTAGGTCCCTATAATTTCAAATTGCAAATAGACCTATCTTAGCGGAAAGAGTTCACCCAGATGTAAAACGATTGCTTTCAACTCGGCTGAGATTATTTGGCTCGTCAGATCAATAATTTGGCCCTTTTAACAAATTAATTTGGCTCCAATATAGCACTTCGCATTAGCTAAGAACCAGGATCCGCCCGACAAGGGGGGGGCTAAAGGCCCCGACGGTGGTGGGGCCTAGCAGAGCGAAGCGAGCCTCACTTCGCTAGGGGGGGGGGGGGGGAAGCCGGCCTGGGGCCGCAGGGTGTTAAGCTACGGAGATTTGACGAATTTTGGTAAATTTTTATTAGTTATTTGATAGGCATCAAACTACCGTAATGACTTCATGTATGTTTTTAATGTCGAAATTCCAAAACCGATTAAAAAAAAAAAATTAAAACAACGAGAAACAAAGAGTATGCAATTTAACCAACTAACTTATTTTCAAATCCGTTTTACATGTTATATTATTTTTAAAAAAAAGAAACACCGTATTACATTACAATACTATCTAAATTATTAACAAAATTACGAATAAGAATAATGTTTTACTGTAAATTGTAAGGCCACCAATTTGTGACAATATTATACTACGACGAATTAAGAAAACACAATGTCACCGGGAACGTCACAGTACAAGCCTATAATTCAAAGTGAAGTTATAAATTTTGGAAATTTTGCCTGAAATCTGTAAATCACGATCAAGGTGTATTCCAAGCAACATGAGTATACCCAAACGTGCATTTGTCAAACATTTTTAATTAGTCCCATTGAACAGGGGCGGATACAGAATTTGTTTAACTGTGGGAGGGACATTTTTACTTTTTAAATTTCAATACATAACATTAATATGCACTGAAATTTTTAAAAAAATAGTGTCAAAACGCTGTTTTGACACTTGACACTGTTCGGCTGATTTACGTTCCAATAGATGTTTGAAAGTAATTAATTCATTGTGAAGAAGAATGAATATATAATATAACAACATATTATGTTGTTTCATGGGCTTAATTCAAAGTAATATACGGTAGTCGGATAACTTACAATGAAACGGCACGTGAACTTATGTTATTATTATTATTACTATTATTATTATTATTATTATTATTATTATTATTATTATTATTATTGTTGTTGTTGTTGTTGTTTTTGTTATTATAGTGATGAAAAGTTAACACAAACGGTACACAAATAGGTCAATGAAGGCGATATGGTTGCTAAACGAACAGAGACACGTACAAATATTTTTTAAATTTTTTTTTTATTCACAGACGGAATGTATTCGTCTTCCCCGACGGGGGGGGGGGGTTAGGCTTCCCCGACGAGGGGGGAGATATAGACCCCAACCCCCTCTGGCGCCACCCCTGCTAAGAACACTTCACACAATCGTACAAGATTCGAAACCGAGAATTATTGTATGTTATGGTTCCAGTAGCTCATACACTTCAAATTAGCTAATACGCTTCACAATCGCAACAAGATTCGAACCCGGGAATTTGTGCATGTTATGGTTCCAGAAGCAATTTCCCTTTCCGTGTATGTGTTTTGATGTTATTATTTTATTACTTTTTATTATTTATAACTCAAAGTAGCACACATTTTCACATCACTGTGTGTTCGAAAGAGATAAAATATTCAGATAAAAAAAAACATCAAAACAATCAAATTACTAAGCACACGACAAATGGAAAGATTGGCAGGAATGCAGACTGGAACTAAAGAAAACACAGCGTACTTAGTAGACGACTGTAAGACAATTAAAATCTTATATATAAACGGAATTTATTGAATAATGTAAATAATAACAAAATAATTAAAAAAATATTTAAACATAATATAAAAATGTCGATAAATACATTTTCAATAAAGTAGAGAAAAATTAAATTCCTGGGTAATATGCACGGGGTGGTTTGAATTTAGCAAGATGATATACAGTAGGCCATAAATAGAATAAATTACGCCAAAATTAAGCACTGGGTACCGTACTTTTCGTGGTCCTTTTCTAAACCCTGTAAACAAAACTAGGCTTATTAGAAAAACTCCCGAGATTGGTATATAATTTTAGCTGTTCTAAATTTAATATAGCAGCCCAGTAGAAGTAAAAACTTTACCATAGACATGTTAACATTTTAAGGTCCTCGTGCATGATTTGAGACTCGTGGTAGAAGAAGCCATTGTTAACATAGAGGTAAACACTAAACTAACTAAATTTAGGTTATTGCAATACGTCTACGGTATCTTATTAATAGGTCCATGGTATAATAATAATAATCAATATCTAAAGCCGAATGTTAATAACATCTAGGCGCTATGGCGTATTATGTTTTATCGTCCATTCGTAAGCCTACTTATTTTACTTGATAATAAACAGATAGTGAGCCAAAGTATAGAAATAAATGTCGATTGTCCTGCAGATAATTCAAGTCATGACTCATGACGCCAAGTTCTGTCTCTGTCTTGTTCTTAGCATTGTGTTTCGTCAACAGCTTTTTTTCAAGTTATACATTAGCATCACCCCGACATTTGTGCCGCCAAGTTCCGTCTCTGTAAATTGTTTTGTTCATTGAGATTCGTTAATAGCATTTTTACTTTACATGGAATAAAAAGTTGGTGTATCAATAGGCAGTGCTCATAAAATTACATTTCGCTAGTCCTACATGCGTACTGTAAACTTGCGGAAAACTGCTTGCATTTTGACTGACGACTGTTAAACTGATGACAAGCCCACACAGAAATTTTCCGCTACCCAATTGGGTCAAGACCACTTGTGTAGGCCTAGTACAATTTCAAATTGCAAAAAGACCTATCTTAGCGGAAAGAGTTCACCCAGATGTAAAACGATTGCTTTCAACTCGGCTGAGATTATTTGGCCCGTCAGGTCAGTAATTTGGCCCTTGTACGAAAACAAGACTGATAAAAGTGCGTCTAGCTCTCGAAGTTGCAAAAAGTACCGGCTAAATTTGGTACCATCATAAAGCTTAGGCTATAGCATATGAAGATGGTGATGTAAAAATTAAAGCATGAATCCACATGAATCTAAACTTTCTCTCCTACTTTTCTAAAAATAGATTTTTAAATATTTTTCTGTCATTTAAACAACGATTTATTATTGATGCAAACTTCAAATTTAAACCAAAACATATATTTGTGTTCCCCAATTTATATACAAGAAACGTGTACATTCCGAATTTTCTGTAAGAAAAAAAAAACCGTGTTTTGATATAATGTACTCAATTATAGCATTTGAAATATTTCTAGAGAAATTTCCGACACTTGTTGAAAAATACCACCCTTAAAATTCGTTTAAATGTAAAATATTTTCAGGATAGATTCACCAGGGTATACGCATCTTCAATCATGTGAAAAAAAGTGTAAAAGCCATAGTCACCAAAATGGACTTTTGGCACACTTTGATTTCGTCCTGGCCCACTGTGTGCCGGTCGCACGACAAATCCAACTCCGTTCACTGTGATCGATACACGAAGCGACGCCGCCGTCTGCTGATTTGTCGGTGGCAGTCTGAACGGATCGTCAATAAAAACGATCCGTTGCGCGCGCGGCGCCGCGTTGCGTTCTTTATAGAATCTCGTCGGCCGACGACTGTCATGCGCAGAGAGTGCTGACCACGCCCGACCGACCCAAAATGTATGAAATTGTGTTTCGGCATTGATTTTAAAAATACCTTTACCTGCTGACCTACCAATTTCAAAAAAGTGGCCAAAGACAAGCGTTTTTTGGCCTCACTAACAGTAGGACAATAATACGAGGGAAGTTATCACTTATACTTTATCCTCTCCTCCCCCATGAGATTCCCCCTCCCCCTGTCAATATGCCCTACTCTACGCCACTGGATACAGTGAGCTACACTCAGAAAAAGCCGGACTCCTTAATACCAAAGTAGGTGGTCAGAAAAAAACTTTACTCTTATATTCTAAAATACAGCCGGAAAATGATTTATTTTTCACGCTGGCCTAATTCTTTGGGTGAATACCAGGGCCCTAGTGGCTCTATTCCCTATCATGCAACTGCTCGAATAATAGAATAAAGTTTGAAAATATGTACAATATAAAATGTATACGTGATAGTGAATGAACAACAGAAAAAAATTATTCCTATAGCATTCTAAAATATAGATAAACTAAATTATTTACGTGAGATTACAGATACTTACTAGTAGTGCTTTAAAGAAACATGGCCTCATATAAACTACAGTACATAACGTTTTACCAGTATGCGGAAACACAATATTCAAACTGTGGTCTTTTTATATTCCATGCAAAGAATAGTTTATAATAACACTTTTCTTGTTAAATGAACCATCGAACCAGCAGAGGTTCTACAGCGTAGGTACAAAAGCTCAGTAGAATAGTGACACAAAATGGGTGTGCAATCAGAATGAGCCCGGTAAAAAGTTTCCCAAATGACAGGTAGGTAAAAATGGACCCAACTATAATATATATAATTAAGTAATAAATATTATTTTCTACTTAAATAATTTTTTTAACTATTTAAATGCTCTAAAACATAAAACACCCCCCCCCCAGTAATTTAACTATTCCCTGAAAAAACGTATTTTTCAAAACTATTCTAAATAATTTAAACTGAGATATACTCAATTTTTATATAGTTAAGAAAATTAAATAAATTCATAAGAACCTATTTTTTGGTTAAAACGTTGATTTTTTTGTGAAAATACCTGCAAATACACCTCAAACCTTAAAAAACAGACCGTGAACCCCATCCAAACCCTTGATTGTAGTAGCGGTTTGGCGCAGCGTGAACGGTTTGGTTTCCCAGCCTTGAGGTCGGGGTTTCAATCCCTCGCTGTGCATTTCGCTTGTGTCCTTGAGAAAGGCACTTTATCTGCATTGCTTCTCTCCACCCAGGAGTATAAATGGGTACCTGGTAGGGAAGCAACACTTAAGCATGTGGATCCAGTGACCAGGGACAAAAGCGTTTCGTATCTGGAAAGAAAGGCGCTATATAAATATTTATTAATATGAATGAATATATGAATATGAATATGATTGTATAATATGTAGGACTCTTTTTATCTCATTAAAAAATAATATTAATTTGATGTTCGTAACAACCTATTTTTGCGGGGTTCAGCAATACCCAGGTTGAAGTTTCTGGAAATTGTGATTCCGCTTCCGTGAAATTAGCCACAAATAAATTATTTAATAATTAAAAAATGCATGATTTATGTTCATTCATTGATTAAATTATTGGTATTTTTCAATATTTAGGCCTAAATGTAAATAAAATAAAGATAAATTAATGTTATTCATGAGTTATGTTATTTTATCTATGGATATGTAATTCCTGCTAAAAGTAAAATATATATGGCCATTTTATTTGATCTTTTAAAATACTAAATTATTTCAGTTTGAACGGAAAAAAAGTTTTGATACGGAATTTTATCATTGTGGTCATTTTTGCCTACCTGTCATTTGGGGCCATTTTTACCCTGGCCATTATTGGGCCCGGATTCCATTCCAGAGCCTGGGAGCTGCTGCATAGAATGCGCGGTCACCATATGAAGTTGCAGTCCTGGGTATAGAGGTGTTTGTCCGCTGACCTTAAGTGCGTTTGGGGATAAGCTTATAGCTTATATATGTTTTTTTTTTTTTTTTGCAATTTATTTTTCTAAAGTTAACGAAATTTACATCAGTTTTGATTGTTAATATGGAAACAATGTACATATAGATTTGCAGATGTTCTTGACGTGATCATCTATGGACAATATTGTCGAATCAATGCAATTGATCGAATACGGTACTATTCAGAGGTTACGAGCACTAGGAGAAGCAGCAGTACTCAATGTTGAAACAGATTGTGAAGCAGGTGGTTGTGGTATTGGGTTGATAAGATTTTGAAGGTACAGGGGTGTAATCAGGATTTTGTGGGTGGGTCGTGATCATAATTTTTTGGACCTTTTCACAATGAAATAACAGCAAGATTAAAATGTAAATACAATTTAAAAAATTAAATAGAAATTGCTGCCAAATTGAGGCACAACGAGGACGTTAATTCGTTGGAATTGAGATAGATTACGTCACGCAATTGGCAAGGTATTTGAACTCATGAACTCATTACTGGTATCTCATCAATGCTTTTTCATTTATGTCATTGTAAAAAGGCTCTAGAAAAAA